CATTGCCTCTAGGATTTAATGCAATCAGCTTTCTAAATAAAACTCTGAAAACAGCAAAATTCTGCCTTTCAGACGAAATGCACAGATCGGCATGAAGCTTTCAGCGCCCACAGTCATCACTGACTCAAGAAATCAAAACCCTAGAATCGTTGCCGTGTTGTCGTACTAGGTTAGCTGTATTTTCAACAGTCTGGACGAAAAATATGTCGTACCATGCTCTTTTCGGACTTTAAAAAGTTGCCATAACAGAAGCATCCGCGTTTTGTGCAGTGACCGTGCAGATCAATGTAACACTGCACATTGCTTTCGTCAGAGGGGATCTGCAGAAGTTGCGGATCAGCCAGGTGGTTGGCCTTGCAATAATTGATGAATTCAAGACGAAGATCCTCGTCCACGCCGAGGTTATTTTCAAAAACAGCCAGGAAGTCTTGATCGGCCTTCTCTCGAACGGCGACTCCTACAAACGTGTGGATTATTTATGGCATAGAAGGATACGTATCAAATTGCTTTAACCAAATTTAGGAGTAGGCGTATAAATTAATTTCTGCTAATGCTCTTCATTTTAGAGTATAGTACTAAGACTACACTAGGACAAAGTACTACGCTCTGGTCATTGCTGCCTTGCTGTGTACTTAATGTCGGGTATGTATGTTCACGAGCGAAGGTGCAACCAGCTAAAATAACCTCTTTAAAAAATTACAAATAAATTTTTATGGTCTTGTTGGCAGACCAGAGGGTATTGTACGTGAAAGCTAGTCCTATTATCACAGAAGAATGCAGTGTGTGAATGCCTGATGATAATGAATAACTTTTAACATACAGTGGTGCTTGCAACCATCTGCGCACTAAGGTCCTCATTAACATTTGACAAGTTATATGTAATTGGATACAGGCCTCATGCGACATAAGCTGAACAATGTAGAAAATTAGACGTTATCATTGCGCTAATCAAAGTGTCTAGTGCCCCCTTTCGGAATAGAAAATAACTAATTGGTGAGATTATGTCGTGATGTCATACATTTTCATATCTATAATGACCAACTACTTACAAATTTTCAGTAGGTTGAATTACCTATAATCTTCCGGTTTTCTACGCGCCACCCATCGATCCAGCTGGGATTTGCTGATGACATTGAG